TGCATGCCCAATTACTTTGACTTTATGTTTGACTTTTATGACAAAACCAGACTAAGTAAAAGAATGTATGCGTAATGTCAGTTCCAGTTTTCATTGTTTGACTGAAAGCAGATTGTGGGATTGCATCTAGGGGAAGGATGAAAGAAATGTTGTATTGCTTGTGTCTGACTGGGTTAACCAAAGGCTGGGCAAGTCTCCATAAGTTTGGGGAGGCCCAGTGCTATGTTTATGTTGAATTGCTTGGAGAACCAGACATGTTCCATAAGTTTGGGTGGTCTGGTTGCTCCGATTTGTGAGGCCTAACTGTGATTGACTTTCAGGGACCAAGCATGTTTTATAAGTTTGGGTGTCTTGGTCGCCTTGTTTACTTCGGGTTTCTTTTAGTTTCTTTAGTTTCTGAATGATGAGGTATGAGCATGTTCCATAAGTTTGGGTGGATCATCCTCTTCCTGCTTTGGTTTAAGAGAAATGAACCAGGCTGAGGACCAAGACATGTTCCATAAGTTTGGAAGGTCTTGGTCCAACGCCACGCACATGCTGGAACCAAAAGGTTATAATTTGGCTATACTTTACTACTATTCTATCTATGAACAGGCTAGTCAGACACGGTTCCATAAGTTTGGGTGGTCTGACTATAGTTTATCACCAACTGAACAAAGTACTAATTAAGAATAAATTTGTAGTACGAAGGGGCAAACTAAATCTTGAGCTAAAGATGATCGGTTCAGTTGTATGCTACCTTAAAAGACTAAGTGCAAATAATTATATAAAGTTGGTATACTAAAACACTTCAGAGCGACTAGGGTGGTCTAGTCATATGCCCAAAGAAGAGAAAAATTATTGTGCCCTGTGTTTGTGTATACTCCATGGCTGAGATAAACATGTTCCATAAGTTTGGGTGGTCTAGCTTTATGCCCTATGTAAGATGGGTATAAAGGGATAAATCATTGAGAGACTATGAACTATTGTTTGATAAATTGACTTGGGATGGTGAGAGTACTTACCTTTGTGGTTTGACCTACATGAGACTGAGTGCGACTACTACTTAGTCTGAGTTTCAGTTGATAGGTAGTTGCTTTAGTTGCTCGCCACGTGCTAGAGTCATAGGAGTTAGTTTCAATTCCTGCATTTTTCTGAGTTAAGTTTTTTTTTACTTAGGTCAATTTTTGCGTTTTCTGGGATCTTTTATTATACTTGGGCATGTATAAATCTTGGTAAGTCACTTTCTCTACAGGCAGCGCTGCCGAAATTTCTACAAAACTAAGGAGTTAGTCAAATTTTATTTTTTTTCACGGTCTAGTTTTTTTGACTTTTTGACTTAGTAAAAATATGGGGAACCTCTTTTTCTGAAGGGGGTGTTGCCTAAATTTTTGCTAATTCAGGGAGTTGGACAAAATTAGACCTTGAGAAGTCAAATTCATTTTAAACTCTGAACTTAGCTTTGTATAAATCTTGGAATAACACTTTCCCTACGGGAAGCGCTGCCGATATTTCTACAAATCTAAGGGGTCAATTGAATTTTGTTTTGAAGTCGAACTCAAGTTTAGCTTTCTAGTTCCCATCTTGGCGTAGTAAAAATATGGAAAAACTTCTTTTCTATAGGGAGTGCTGCCCAAATTTTTACTACTTCAGAGAGTTGAACAAAATTTGACTTTCCAGAATTAGAGATTGTTTTTTGTTTTCATATTTGAGTAAGTATAAATTTTGAGAAGACATTTTTCCTACGGGAAGCGCTGCCGAAATTTTCTTAGTTTAAAGAAGTTAGATTATATTTTGACATGTGACAATCCTGAAAAATTCACTCTGTATAGAAGAGATTCTGCCAGAGTCTATCTTTCTTTTGACACTTGCTTAGAGGTAGACTCAAACTTAGTTAAATAAAATGATTTTGAGCAAGATCGTGATATGAAGATTATTCTCCATAGACTTATAGGTTTAGCTTGGGGATTGACCTGTCTTGTGTTACAGGTCCTCTTGATCATTTGATTCAAGATTTGGACTAGATTCAACTTGATCCTGCAGGGATATTCTTTTGTTATCACTAATAACAGGTCGGTTGTCGATTCGTCGGTTTACAACTCAACTCCAATCCACTCTTGCCACTCAACTTAAAGGTTTTAGCCTTATGATTTGAATTGTTGTGTTGTGTTTTCGGTCGGACTTTATTTGAATGGCCATTTAAAGAAAAGTACTGAGTATTTTATTTTGAGGAGTTGCACAAGAGTGAGGCTTGCATGATTAAAACGAGGGGTATGGGTGCAAAAAATGGTTGAAGTTGACCACGTGTAGCGCATGAACTTTTGGTTGAATCTTTGATGTGATTGCATGTATGTTTTGTGGTTCGGACTTTGGAGTGACTGTCTGCGATCATATACATATATATGGCTGAGAGGAGTTCCACTGTGATTGTGAGAAGTGATCGTCACATATTTATAACCCTCTCTATATATGTAAATAAATATGTCCTGAGTGTTTCGCGCGGCTTACTGTGATCGCGAGTAAGGGTTAAACATATTATGTTTTTGAGAGAAAATGGGAGATCCCCTGCTATCCTTTGCTTTTTAGAGTTTCTATGGTTGGACGTTGTAATCTGTGGCAGCCGTCAAACTTAAACCCCTTAATTTCTCTCCGGACCCTAGATGATGAAGCTGGTCTACCGGACGATAATAGACGATTGCCTCTACCGATATGAACCTGTGTACCACCCACTCTCCACAGGGTGTAGAAGAGGGTGTGGTTTTCAACCGCACTTGGTGGTTGTCCAACGCCGAGAGATCAATCCCTCAAGGCGCATGTCAGCCGACATATGAGTGTCGAATGTGACCCTCGAGATTAACGAGGACCACATGAGTATAGGTACTACATAGTACGCCATCATTGCGATCGCTTGCGTATGCTTGCATTGCAAGTCGATATGAGGTTAGCCCTGCGTCCGCGCGGTTTTATACTAAGTCGCGCGCGCAACGCCTACTCGATTTTCGCATCGGAGAGTTATGGGATGACTACTAAGGGACTAGGAATGTTGTCGAGTTGTTTGTTCTGTGTCGTTCTGTATATGTATGTGTATGTGCGTGTGTTTTTATTTTTATGTTCTTTAGAGTGGTGTACGAGTGGTGTGTGGGATGCGTCCTAGTCGACCGATGACGAGTCGCGCTTGGGACCTCAGCCCCCCAAGACGTCGGTTCGTGTGCGGGTCCGATAGAGGCGTAAAACCACGAGTACCCCCAATGCTACAGTGAACGAGAAACGCCCTCAGCTGGTCCACCTCTGCGATTGCAGCTGATTAACTTTCGTACTGTGGACTGGTAGCTCGGCGGGGATACGCCCACCGAAGCGAGGTGACAACTCCCGGAAGGTGGAGGTAAGTCGTGCCTCGCGTAGGTCCTATCCTGTCGTAGGGGTTCGCGAGAGGTATGGCTGGCGCACTCAGGCGGAGCGGCTTGCGGAAGCTCCATGTGTATTCACGACGAGGAATAGACCAACTCCTACGTGACGAGGCCGGGAGGGTCCCGCCTCGCCTTGGGCAGTGCCGGACCGATGTGCTCGATAGCGCTGCACAAACAGTGCAATTTAACTCAGGGAGGGCAAAACTCCGGAAAGGGGCAGGCGCCCCAAGCAATGGTAGTAGCCTTGCCGAGTACGTCGGCCCCGTCAAGTAGCGAGGGACCTCGCAAGCGGCAGGACCACCATATGGGCAGTGGCCATGACCTGTGTTTAACACCTTCGTGCTATGGGGAAGTCCAACTCTGTCTGGATAAATGGTACCATATACAGGGTCCCAGGCGAATATGCCGCCGTCGAGCTATCCTGCGGCGCAGGCCCAGCCCATGGCACCACCTCCATCGCCCGCGCCAAGTTCACAAGGTAGTGTGGCAGGGGGAGGAAATCAAGGCCAGGGCAACCAGGGGAATGGAGGAAGAGGTGGCGGAAGAGGACGAGGCATGAATGGCGGTGGCTGAGGTGGACAATGGGATAATCAAGGTTACCAAGGCCAAGGGAGCCAAGGGAATCAGGGAGGTCAAGGATATGGAAGACCTTGTTTTGACTGGCGAACCGCTATCTGTCAGCATTGTGACAAGCAAGGTCACACAATACGGTTCTGCAACATAAGGCGGGAAGATGAGAAGTCCGGGCTGATCTATTCTAATATGGATGGCGACATATATGATCAGTTCGGGGAGTATATTGACTGAAAGGTTCCAAGGGGAGTGAGGGCAGAAGCTCAGAGAAGGATAGCTGCGCGACAAGCGCTACCTGCCACGTTCAAGTTGAGAAGGAAAGGGATGACCCACCAATATGGGTGGAAGAGGTGGAAGGTGATGAAGAGGTGACTTAGAGGCTACATACAGGAAGTATAAAGGAAAAACCTAGACGGAGAGGGCGAAGATGAGAAAGTGGAGCCAGCATCAGTCCTATTAGGAAAGATGGAGGACTTGTGGCACAAAATGAGAAGATACCAGTGAAAGTTGGTGGATATATGTGAAGAAATAAAGGAATGAAGGGCCAAAATCCCCAAAGTCTTCCTCTACGAATCCGGTCCAGAGTCGGTACCGGGACGACAAGGATACCCGGTGTGGCCACCGTGGGGTCAGACCCCTGATCTGGAATGACCTTTCGGCCCCCTACTGTGCAAGGGAGGATGGCGCAAGCTGCACAAACAAGGGGCCGGAGTAAGGCAAGTGCTAACCGAGAACCCCCGCTGAGGGAGCCAGAGCAGGAACGAAGGAAAGAGGTCGTGGAGGTGGAGGAGGACGATGACGAGGAATAACAAAATGATAGGTTGCGCCAAGAGGAGGATCGAAGGGCGGAGCAAAGGGCCAAGAAGAGGGGAGCCCAGGAGGAAGCCGAGCCGATTCTGCGCGATGCGGCGCCGAAGAAAAAACAGTATGAGGTCCGATTAGAGGAAAGGCTTGACGTGGAAAAAGTGATTGATAAGTCGCTTGAAGGTCATAATGACCTTGTGACCTTGAGGGAGATTTGACATCTGCTCATAAGCTCCGTCATGAGTTGAAGGGAAGGTTTTCCCGACGTTTAGTGCCAAATGCCCATCTAAGTGTGATCCTGCCAAAGGAGGAAGAATAAGTGGAAACTGGGATGAAGATGGACTGAAAGTGTGTGGCCTGCGAAATGGTAGATTTAGTGATAAAAGGATCAAAGTGTGCAGCAATTGTGGATACAGGGGCAGAGATGAACATCATCAGGGAGGCTGATGCACTCAGGTTTGGGTTGGAGATAAACCACTCGGATTGCGACATTCTGCACGGGACCAATTGCAAGGCCGTATTTTGTGGAACAGCGTCTAACGTGCTTATCGAAATCGGGAGAGTAAAGGCCACAGCTTGCTTCTTCGTCATGCCAAACATGGATCATGCCATCCTCCTAGGGAGATTGTTCCTATATAGGACAGAGACGTTGATGTTCTACAAACACGACGGAACTCTGATCCTGATCCTGTGTGACCCGACGTGCGGGAACTATGAGATAATTACTTGTCGGAACACAGACCCGCGAAGCATAAGGAACCGACCCAAGTCTGGTTCATTCACGATTGAAGAGTCAAAGGACGAGCGTCGGAGGTTCCGTGAGGAACCACAAGAGGAGGCACAAGAGAAGGTATTTTCCCTCAGCCTATCCGATGTGAACAAGGCCATGGATATAGTGGCCACACATGAGATGGCGGATCCAGACGCCATTCACGCACTCAGGGAGCAAGTCCTGGAATGTCCCCAGGCTGGGGAAGTAGAGCTGATCTATCGGCTTCCGGGCGGAAGGAGGGACCCTGCAATGATGCAGGCGCAAGTAGTAAGCCGACCTTTTTTAGGGGACGGCTCAAGAAGGGTTCTCAAAGACGATAAAAGACGATAGACAAAAAATGCCGCCTAGTTCCCGTTCTCGTCATAGAAGATGGGGAGGTTTATTACAAACAGGAACGAGGATTGATACGGCGAATGAGGGAGCAAACGGCAGTTGGGCCGTGCCGTATCAATTCAGGGAACGAAGGAAAGTTAATAGTGGGGGAGCCCGATTTCCTGCTACCTCAGAAAAGGATGCTGATGATAGAGCTAATAAAGAAGAGGTATCGCGCCTATGCCTTCGATGACGATCAGTGCGGGAGATCGGATTTAGATAAAATTCCTATGATCCGAATCCATACCGTGCCACATGAGCCATGAAATTTGAGGGGGGCGCGGTATCCTAACCCTGACGAGGAGAAGAAGGTGGTAGACTATCACGGTGGCAAAATACGTACGCATGTCGCCGATTATTCGAGTGGGCTGTATGCGTCTCTGTGGTTTTGCTTTGTCAAACCTAATGAGACGTTGCGGTGGGTGCAAGACTTGCAGCGGTTGAACACTGTGACTGTGCGAGATGCGGGGGGCTTGCCAAACGCCGACATGCTGTCCGAGTCATGTGATGGGAGACCTATAATTTCACCTATAGACCTCTACTCCGGATACAACCAATTTCCGGTCTACCCACCAGACAGACCAGTGACAGCGATGCATACGCTCCGAGGATTGATTCACATGAATGTAGCTCCGCAAGGATGGACTAATGAGGTGGCAATGGTTCAACGACATATGATTCGAGTCATGCAGTCAGTCAACACTCATATCACTCAACCATATATCGACGACTTGGCGGTAAAGAGGCTGAGAGAGAAAGAGAGTGACGAAGTCTTGCCAAGTGTAAGGCATTTTATTTGGAAGCATGTTGAGGATCTTGATAAAGTCATGGGTTTGCTTAAGGAGCACAACCTTACGACAAGTGATGCCAAGTCCGGACACTTCATGAGGGAGGCTTCCATCCTGGGGTTCATCTGTAGTGAGAATGACCGTCGACCAGATGTAAAGAAGACGGACAAAATTGTTGAAGGACCAGTACCATTCCACTCGATAACAGATGTTAGGAGCTTCCTCAGCACGTGTGGGTTTATGAGAACCTTCGTTAAGAATTTTGATGCCAAAACTGAGCACTTGAGGAAACTGGTACGTCAGGATCAGGAATGGGTCTGGGGTGAGGAGCAGGAAAGGGCTGTAGCAGGGATGAAGGAGTAGTTTCGAGAAGGAGGGTTGGTATTGGGAGCATCGGACTAAGAAACTACAAAAGTGAGACCGTTCATCGTTGAGATGGACGCTGGACTGACTGCCTTAGGGGGAGTCTTGATTCAGGCAGATATCGAGGGGAAGAAAAAACCACTAAGGTTCAAGAGCCGAACTCTTTGTATGACTGAGAGAAATTACTCTCAGTTTACAAGAGAGAATCTCGCGGTCCTACACTGCCTGAGGATTTTTCGAAATTATATCTTTGGCAGAAGATTCATATTGAGGGTAGACCCAACAGCGCTCGCTTTTTCGCTGAGAAATTACACTCCATCAGATTCAACTGTCGCCAGATGACCAACATATATCTGGATGTTTAATTTCGAATTGGAATGGATTCCAGGGGATAAGAATATGACAGATGGACCAAGTCGCATCAACTGGGATAATAAAAAGGGAGAGACAATAGAGAACCCACCCCCGGTTGATGACTTCTTAGATCAGGAGGAAGATGTCCGCCTTCACATTAACAAGTGGTCTCTGCGGGTGCCGAATTGCATTGACCATCCCATTTGGCTTGCACCGAAGGGATATGAGCAAAAGGCAGAGCTGGTGCTCAAGCCTTTTGAGGAAGAGGACCCATGGGGTGGCAAAGATGTCCAGTGGATGATGAAGTTGACGCTGACAGGCGAGCATAGTCTGGTGGAGGAAGTGAAAACGATAGAAGAAGGGTCAAACCAGGTAGAGAAGCACAAGGAGTTGATTGGGGGAATGTATCTGCTCGTCAATACACTTTTGCAAGGGAATTTTGATCAAGTAAACTCGCTGAATCCGGCTGAGAATAAAGATACTGTGTCGGAGAGCCAGGATGACGAGTTTGAGGAAGTGGAGATCAAAGAAGCGTTCCGTGCAGAGGAGTATGATGAGATCTACCTGGAGCTGAGACTTCTCTTATCATGTGAGATGCGGGATAGGGATGCTAGCGAAAGGGCTCAAAAGATGAGGCAGCTCTACCTAGTAAGAGATGATCATCTCTTTATAAAAAGGCAAGTAGGGCGACCTAGGAGGGTTGTATAGGGGAAGAACCGTCAAATCGATGTTATAGCCGTGCTTCATGATGGCATTGCAGGGGGGTATCGAGGAATTAATGTCACGTATGCCAAGATAAGTGAGCTATACTATTGGGATGGGATGATGAAGATGATCAGCAAGTTCTGCCGTTCCTGTATACCTTGTCAAGAAAGGGCTCCTTAGAGGCTAGGAGAGCCACGACATCTAAGGTTAGAGAGGGAAGTGAGTGTCGTGGTACATCTCGACTTACTGTTTATGTCGATTGGGGATCATGGTTACAATTACATCTTCGATGCGCGAGACAACCTTTCTGGCTTTGTAGATGGTCACGCCATTCGTACAAAGATCAGCTAAGTGTTGGTAAGCTACATCGAGGAGTACTACCTGCGTTATCCCTTCGTCAAGGAATTCGTGATGGATAAAGAAGATGTCGTACTGATATATGACTCGTCCCTAGAGAAGCAGTGGTCCAGGAAGCTTGACAAAAGGTAATTAGGACCCTACCGGATTGTGCGATGCGAGGATTTCGGCGCATATCAGATTGAGGAGCTGGATGAAACAGAGTGGAAGGATTGGGTATCAGGAACGAGGCTGAAAAAGTTTGTGGCAAAAGAAGAGGTGAGACAAACGATTTAACCTCCTTATGGTAGGACCACTATGTATGTAGAAAAAGGTTGTAATGAGGTCTTAGAAAGGAGTAAGACAGTAAAATGTATGGGTAGGGTATGTGTATTTAGTTTGATCTGAGCTTGCTATGTCACGCATGTTTGCTCACCCTTGTTGTGTGTCTGTTGTCTTTTTCGCCTGTTGTGCAGGTTTGACTTTTCGAAGACAGCCATGCCAAGGGGAGGGAGGGAGACACGGCCACCACGGAGGCCATTGGGAGCTTCAGGGGGTTACGAGCGGCATGGGTCTCACCGGAGGGAGCACACGCCCGTGTATGACGACGGGGATATAGAACTCTTCCTGGACGAGTTTCGGGGATATGCGGAGCACTTGGGTGGACGGTGGCAGAGAGGATAGAGAGGTTGAGGGTAGTTGATCGATTTGAGGAGCCCATCGCGCAGATCCGTAGGGAGGCGAGGACTTGGCCAGACGTGGAGATGAGGATATAAGAGTTGAGACCGTCACCCATGGGACCAAACGGTGTGCCGATTCGCCTAGAGATTGAAAATGTGGAGGAGTTTATCCCTGCTTTTGAGGATTTCATGCACGAAAGGAACATATTGAGGGATGAGTGGGCGCAGACACTACCTCTATGGACCAAGAAGGCGGAGAGACCATCGGCCCGTCAAATCAGAAATATGGCTCGAGACTGAGAGAGCTGGAGGGCACACCTGAGAGAGGCCTTTCGACGACCAGAGCCACCACAACCTAGGGTTGAGAGGCGGCAGAGGAGCAAGAGGCAGAGGGACCCTAAGCCCAGAGAGGCCATGCCATCTCGAGGAGGACGGAAGGCACTCGCCAGGCGGGAGGAGGAGTCAGTACCTGAGGCTGAGGAGCGAGGAGCATATCCTGACTGCGGACTTGGCCCGATGTTTTTTCATCGTTTCACTGGAGGGGGATTGAGAGGATCCCCTCAGCATGAGCGAGAGGAGGTGCCTCCACCCGGAGGAGCATTGCAGGAGTCGGAGGTACACCTGGACATTTTGCGATGGAGGGTGCCTCAGACTGACGAGAGACGCGATGATCCAGCGGGAGGTGTACCACGAGAGGAGGTCCATGAACCAGTGCGAGAGGCGGAACGAGATGCTCAGGGAGGACGAGTAATAGAGGAGGTGATAAACGTTGGAGAGGATACTTCGCCTCGGACGTCGGCTCCAGAAACTGGACCTAAGATAATGCCAGATGTCGCACGAGAGGCAGGGGAGGAGCTCCAGCAGGGAGAGGCTCCACCACCTCTCCCATATGTGACTCTTTCGCCAGGGGTGAGGGTAGAGATGGAGCGAGAGAGGATTGGGTGGAGGAGAGAGGCCCTTTCTACGATTGACAGGTATCTGGCTGCGCATGCTCAGGAGCACCCTGATATTGAGAGGCCTATGAAGCCACCACGGGAGCCACACCAGGCAGAGAGAGAGGCATTGGTCGAGATTCCGGAGAGAGAGGGTCATCGGACCAGAGGGAGAGCGCCAACAGGTAAGACAGCAGAGGAGAAACGGGCCAGGGTCGGGAAGCACGTAGAGGAGATTTGGGAGGAGAGGCAAAGATTGAAGGCGGCAGGGGCACTCCCAGTTCAACCACCTGACGCGCCCTCTAGACCATGTGGCTCCAGAGAGGGCAGGACTCGGGACATCGAGGACGACGAATGAGTACCTGGACCGTAAGATCCGCTTCCTGGCCAAGACTTCTTTCAATAGGTATCTGATGTTGGAAGACGATCTAGTCAGAAAAAAAAATGAAGGGAGTGAGTCATGGAGTGCGTTTGGAGGCAGTTGAGGCAGAGGTCCGAGAGCTCAGGGCATTGGTGATTAGTCAATATGCCATTATCCAGGACTTGAGGCAGCAACCTCGAGATATGGCGACCAAGATGGAGAGGGAGGCACCTACCAAAATAGGGGATTGGACTGAAAGTAGACGCTATGACATCCAGAGTGAGGCACTCCAGGGTTTATTTCGGCCACCATATATGGCGGGTCCATCCCATGAGCCATCTATTGGGAAGGCCATCCTGGAGCTTGAGGAAGCAAAGGCGAAGAGGGAAGCAGAAAGGGAGGCCCTTGAAGTTAAGGCCCCTACTGAGCTTGCCGCCCAACTTATGACTTCTTCAAGGCCAGCGACGGAGTCCTCGACACCACGAGCTGGAGACAGACCACGGACAACCGTCAGTGAACCTGCACTTGGATCTGACGAGGGGTCCATGAATGTGCTCCTTGAGGCAGTCGACACGATGCAGGAGGAGGCGAGTCTGTTCATGCTCGAGCAGAGGGTGGAGGAGCCTAATGAGGGAGAGACAGTGGTTGCGATGGCGGATGTCTTCGAGGGCAGACCACAAAGGTTAGATACGTCTGAGTACAGGCCTGAGGGAGTTGGAATACGGCTAGAGCCGAGTACTTAGGAATTGGAGACGAGACATGAGGAGCCTATGGGTATGCCCCAATAGCATGAGGTGGCCAGGGAGGTTAGTAGGCACCATCATCGCCGGGATATCAGAAAAAAAAAAAAGAGGGACTGAAAATCGGGAGACTTATCTGGTTTCTTCTGCAAGGATGGGGAGGATAGGGCCTTGCAGTGTCCTAAATTCCTGAAGGACAAGGCAGCAGAGAAGGTTACTAAGAGTGGTGGGCGGATGCTTGACAGACAGGGTAGAGTGGTAGAGCGGACTGTCGATGGGGGTAGGGCTCAGCTATACAGGCAGAACCAGGAGGAGATGAGTGAGTAGGGACTGGTTCGTCTATGTATCGATAGCCATTATGACATAACGAGATTGAGTGGCGTATGCATTCTGGGTCAGATGTTAGTTTTTATCTTTGTTTTTGTTCTTGTCCTGCTAGAAGTTTGGGTACCTACGCTGTTAGTTGTACATATAGGGGAATACAGCGTATGGTTGCCATTGAGGCTCTTCTTAGTGATATAAGGGTCAAGATTAAGAGAGATCCCATGCGTATGTTGATGATATCCTTTCTCTGACTCATTGAGAGGAGGATTCAGTTTCTGTTTCAGAATATTTTTGATAGTTGGGTTAGTCCTGTATCATATTTAGGAGGGTTTTGTTTGGTCCGAGTGAGTTGCGGATCGAGACTACTATTTGTGTGTTTAGATGAGATATCTCGTCCCTAAGTGTGTTTTGAGTTGAGGCTTATTTGAGACTATCCCCTTGTATATGACGATCACAATCACTCTCACATGTGTGGTTTTATCCTGATGTACGATGACTTTGTGTGAGAGATGAATAAGAAACATCTCGTGTGCTGGGTATTTTGTGAGTGTGAATGAATGTGAACTGTCTACTCTTCGGTATACTCGTGCGATCTGCCCACGAGCGGGTGATAGGGTGGGGTATAAGGAGAGAGAGTGCAATCTGTTTTTATGAAAGGGGTGAGAACCTAAGGGATTTATGAGTCTTTGAGACTCGAAAACTTACCATGCCGAATGTTTATTGTTGAGTTGTGGTGGGGACCCAAAAGTTGGTCTCTCAGTTTGAGTTGTTTATGGTTGAGACACCTTCAAGTGAGAAGGCTGTCTTTTGTTTATTTTGAGACTCATCTTCAGAGAGGGAAGATGTTTTAAAGATAGGTCGCAAGAGAGTTCATCCTAAGAAAGGGAAGGGATGACTGGGAGGCCTATTGAGTGAGACCTCCTTCATATGAAAGGTGGTTAATAGACTTAATGGCATGAAAAACTGGTTTGAATGATAAAGCCTGACGAGAAAGATTAATTTTTTGTTTGGCCATTGGTGAAATTTTGGAGGTCGCAAAAGTGATCTATTTGGGAGATGTCGTCGAGATGTGACTTTCTTGCTCTGATCAAGTTGGGAGGTCACGACCTTATGAATCTGGCGGTGATTTTGTTTTGTGAAAGTGGAGAGGTTGCCGTGTTTCTCTGTGTTGTCTCACAAAGGACTGATAAATACCTTTTATGTGTGACAGACCTTTGCATAGTCCCGCAATTATAGACATATATTATTGCGACACACCGTCCAACTGCTTGTGCTAATCTCACGACATTTATGAGAATACCAAGCTAACGGCAGAGTTTAGCATCACTAGGGCGCAACCCCTAGTGTGGGCTGCTGATCGGCGTAACCTGAACAACGGGCCTACTTCTTGCCAAAGGAGTAAAGACTTACAGGGGTGTGGCCACCTAGGAGGGTTTCACTCATGTGGAACGACGTGGGATAAGAGTCGAGTCAATTGAGTCTTTTTGAGTCCTGATTGAATACTTATAAGGAGAAAGTCTATCGTGGTGCAACCTGCGAGGACACTACCGCTAAAATGACAACGCAGTGGACCGTAGATCTGGCACGATCACCCGGACTATGGTGGACCAGGATGAAGACCTGACGTTCCTGTACTAGACTGCGGAAAGAGTATAAGATAAAATTTATGTATATAAATATGTTTGATTGTGAAAATTGTTGGGAGGAAAGCGAGAATGCCTTCGAAGGTCTCGAACCCTCGTCCCTAGTTATGGCCCTGCTATCAGGGTAGAGATTAGGGACACCTAACGAGAAGCCGACATTTGTCTAGGACAAAGGGGAGAGGACAATTGAGAAATTCATTGGGACTTATGCTGTAGTATAGTGATGAGTATCCCAACGTCCTAATGTCAAAACAATGGAGACCCAGGTTAAAATTCTGGCAGCATAAAGCTATGTTTGACATACATTGATGGAGGCCTTGAAACAGAGTCTGTCGGCTAATCGGATTGGTTCCTTTCTCGTCAGCATTTGAAATTTTGGATGGACTTATAACTTTTTCGATTTTTGTGAAGCGACGGGCACGTCGCTTAATATGGTCCGGTAAGCTGTCGGTGCGAATACCCTTACAAGGGTATCCGCCCTGGTTTTTGAAAGTAACAGAAAATAAGTTTGATTTAAAAGTTTAGGTATACCGTGCGAGGCGCGACTGAGTCTGTGGTTTATATTGACTAAATGATTGACTATAGTAAAGAGTGTGTGGGCGCGCAAATTTAAAGCACGTGTGATTGCTCGGATTATTGATGATGGCGAAGTCAGCGTAGTTGCTTGCCCAACTTTTATTTTTAATTAAGTTAAGATTAAAAGGGTTTTTGTCTCTTGATTGGTGGGGTTACCTGTGACCTGTGCGCATGTGCGGAGAATGACATTGACAACAAGGTGACCTTGAAATGTTTTCCGTACGTCCACGCTTCGCACAATGTCCGCTTATTTAGGTGTTCGTCGAAACTACACCCTGACTTGGGCCTAACCCTATTGATTACGGTGTTGGACTTTCATCAAAGAAATTATGGGATCGAGACCGAGCGGCGATGACGAGGGGATATCAGGGTAGTGCGAAGAGGACCGAGGGGTTGAGGGCCCGACGGGCTATCCCCTTTGGTTTTGCCGTCGGCGGCGTCAGAACGGTACTAGCGGTTCCCCTCCCCTCATCGTCATAACCTTACGACTAAGAGTTTTTAAAACATTGTTATATATTATCTTATGTCATTATTATTAAATTTTATGTTTTGGCTTTTCGTAACTCGGACGTGACACTGGCCGTGGGTGACCGTCGCGGCAGTCGAGGACCTTGAGTATGCGCCTCGTTTGAAAAACCGGTTTGGAATTCGGCGTGGTCGGGATACAGGCGGAAGCAATTTAGTTTTGCCCATCTGAAAGAGTAAACTAGAAAAGTCAACATGCGGGAGGTTAGCAGCGGGTCCGGGGCCATGGCCTCCTTGGCTTCCCAATTGGAAAGTGGCGATGACCTAAAGTAAAATGGAAAAACCGTGGAACATTCCGAGCGACTCTGTGGGGCAGCAGCCCGAGAAAAGCAAGGGCCGAAGGCAGGGCACCGCGGCCGCCCACGTGGGTCCCCTCCTCCACCACGACCCTTCAAAGATTCTGACGGGGAACTTGCTACTACCACCAAAATCTGCACCAGGGCTCTTTTGATCTCGACGCACACTGCAGGGTTTGCAATGGGCCCCCACTCTTGATATGGAGACCCATGTTAGAATCCTGGCAGCATAAAGCTATGTTCGACATATATTGATGGAGGTCTTGAACCGGAGTATTTCGGCTAATCGGATTGGTTCCTTTCTCGTCAGCATTTGAAATTCTGGATGAACTTATAACTTTTTTGATTTTGCGAAGCGACGGGGACGTCGCTTAATTTGGTCCAATAAGCTGTCGGTGCGAATAGCCTTACAAGGGTATCCGCTTTGGTTTTTGAAAGTAACAGGAAATAAGTTTGATTTTAAAAGTTTAGGTATATTGTGCGAGGCGTGGTTGAGTCTGTGGTTTACACTAACTAAATGATTGACTATAGTAAAGAGTGTGTGGGCGCGCAAATTTAAGGCACGTGTGATTTCTCGGATTATTGATGATGGCGAAGTCGGCGTAGTTGCCTGCCCAACTTTTATTTTTGATTAAGTTAAGATTAGAAGGGTTTTTGTCTCTTGATTGGTGGGGTTACATGTGACCTGTGCGCATGTGTGGAGAATGACATTGACAACAAGGTGACCTTGAAATATTTTCACTACGTCCGCGCTTCGCACAACGTCCGCTTATTTAGATGTTCGTCAAAACTAGACCCTGACTTGGGCCTAGCGCAATTGATTACGATGTTGGACTTTCAACAAAGAAATTATGGGATCGAGACCGAGTGGCGACGGCGCGGGGATATCAGGGTAGTGCGAAGAGGACCGAGGGGTTGAGGGTCCGACGGGCTATCCCCTTGGTTTTGTCGTCAGTGGCATCAAAACGGTAATAACGGTTCCCCTCCCCTCATCGTCATAACCTTACGACTAAGAGTTTTTAAAACATTGTTATTATTATCTTATGTCATTATTATTAAATTTTATGTTTTGGCTTTTCGTAAGTCGGACGTGACACCGGCCGTGGGTGGCCGTAGCGGCAGTCGAGGACCTTGAGTATGCGCCTCTTTTAAAAAACCGGTTTGGATTTCGGCGTGGTCGGGATACAGGCGGAAACAATTTAGTTTCGCCCACCTGAAAGAGTAAACTAGAAAAGTCAACCTGCGGGAGGTTAGCAGCGGGTCCGTGGCCATGGCCTCCCTGGCTTCCCAATTGGAAAGTGACGATGACCTAAAGTAAGAAGGGAAAACCGTGGAACATTCCGCGTGACTCTGTGGGGCAGCAACCCGAGAAACACAAGGGCCGAAGGCAGGGCACCGCGGCCAGCCACGTAGGTCCCTTCAAAGATTCTGACGGGGAACTTGCTACTACCACCAAAATCTGCACCAGGGCTCTTTTGATCTCGACGCACACTGCAGGGTTTGCAACGGGGCCCCACTCTTGATTTCACGGGTTGAGTGAGGACTTCCCTGCTGAAGGCTTGAGGTGCTGGGGAACTCCACCTTAGCAGAGTAAGTGGGGCGGTACATGCTACTGCAGCTGACAATACCAACCACGGGTCGTTTGGCCCCATCAGGATCAAACTTATTCGACAGGGCGACCACTC